AGTATTGCCTTTAACTATTTTTATTCCATAAATAAAATGCATAGTTTACTTTGAACAACTTACTGATTTTCTTCTTTTTTTTTTTTGTGATTTCTTCAAATCCATTAACCACCAAATCAAATCTTATCACAGCAGATCTTATAGAATGATTTAGTATAGCAATGAAAGTTGAAAGCACTTTAGGGTTAAGACACTCAAACAAACAAACAAGGCAGGCAGACAATTTCTTAAAAACAAAGAAAATCCGAAGTCATCAAATGCGAGTACATTTTCAAGCTACAAACTGATTACTTAATTTATTATTATTATTAATTTTATTATGTATTATAAAATTTATATATAAATTTATTAGCTTAACGCTTCATAATTTTTTCTTTATCACATTTTCTTTTGAAGATTTTAAAGATTTTTATCTTAAAATAACATCAATTCGTCAAACTTTTTAACTGTCTGCCTGTGCTTTATTGTTGCTGTGAGTTATTATGTTAATAATGTAAATAATAGAGATGAACATAAATATATTAAGAAACTATTTAATAACGTGTCAAAAAATAAAATAAAAATAATAATATATTCGTTTACATGTATGTCAATTTAACTACATATTTAATTATGTATTATAAACTGCGCTATAGTACTTCAACAACTTCAAAACTTTCATTTGTACTAAAATTGTGTCGTTTTACCATACATACAGACATTAAATAAAATATATGCAATTATTTTTTTTTTTTTTTGTTTTATTAATAACAATAATTTATATTAAAAACAAAAGTTTTATATTACATTTAAGTCTAAAAACATTTTTGTTTATCTTAACTGTCTGTGTTTTAAATATAAGACTGTGGCTCAGTGATTAATCAGATACTTTTATAAAACAGCACTATGCTTCAAGTTTTATTTAAATTAAAAATTTATTTATTTTATATGGTTTGTATATATTTCATCAGAAAAGAAATCTGTATCAGTTGCAAACGATATTTTTCTTCTTCTCGCAAGCAAGTAATCTTGCTGTTATATTCCATAATTTTCTTAGTTTTGTCTATAATAGTAAATAAAGTCTATATACGATATATACGTATGATGTTCGATGATAGAGTTATTATACATTTCAAGCAATTTATGTAGATTGTATTAACGTCAGATACATGTTTATATCTTCTTCTCTCTTAGCATAAGAGTGTTTTACCGATCTGTTGCAACGACTCTACAATCACATAATACTATTTTCTTAAGGTAGGTATTTTGTTAAGGCTTTCGATTTTTGTCGATCTGTTGCAACGACTCTACAATCACATAATTCTATTTTATTAAGGTAACCCCCAACGTGTAAGGTGATACAAATATGTAGACATAGGTTAGAAAGTGATTTGTTATTGTTATAGTCCATAAGGATACACACAGACAGACGCATGCACGGGTTGGAATGTGAATAAACAATAGTTGAAGTTTGGGGATGGATAAGATTTAAATTGATGTCAACTAACATCAAGGCGGAACAACCTATCTACTTCTTTAGGACGGCCATTAAAGATTGATTGCGCTCAAAATGTACGATGTCATTAGGTGAGAGAAGATGTGAGAGTGGATAGAAGGATTGTTTAGGAGCAAGAATAGATTGAACGTGAATGGGATTTTAATTGATGACAACCTGAGTCAAGGCGGAAAAACTTAGTCACTTGAGAGACATGGGGAACAGATGGTATAATTTATTCACTGTTGTAGCCCGCATGGATCTGTTTGTGTAGTCCCTTTTGAGAATGTTAAACGTCACATCGTCCGATGTGTAGACCCGGTCGCTGTGAAACTATCTATCTGTCGATTCTTCTTTTTACTGTTAACATGCCTTTATAAAGCACTAATATTACTACCACTTGTTATTTTACCCCTTGTTTGAAGCGCATTTTTGTTTTGTAGTATTTTTAGCTATTTAAAATGCTGCAACTATCATATTCGGCCTCTCTATAGTACTATTCAACTCATCATTTTACAGAATTTAGTAACACGTATTGCTCAATTACACGCACTTATGCTCCGAAGCTTTTTCTCTCACATGCCGAAAATTAATGTATAATTTTTACATGAACACATAAATTTTACAAAACTACCAGTTTCGTTGCAACGTTAATTTTTACGTCTATAGTTGAAGATCCAAAATATGTATTTCCATATAGATGTTCGAGGACTCTAACTAGAGATTTAATCGTGTAAATATAACACTATATTAAATCAGATTATTTGTCGGTAAACATCATATCGTCACAGAGTTGTCACCAGTTCAAACCTTATAATAATTTAATGTTAGTTGCAGCTCCGCTCCATTGGGCTTTTATGTACATAATTATTTAAATTGTATTTCTAAGTTTGTATTTTAATTACAAATAATATGCTCTATGAAAAATTTAACAACAACATTTACTCTCTATATCTCTAGTTGCAAATAACATATCTTTGAAATAGAATGAAGTGTAATGTATGGATTTGTGTGTGTTGCAATGTGCACTTTCATGTGTATATTGTGTATATGTTTTTACAATAATACCTATGTTTGCATGTACAATAAAAACTTCCCGAGTGTCATAATAAGCATTCTTTTAATGGCAGGTGTGCGCTAGTCCTATTTTTGCATTTACTATTTATTTTTACGTTTTATTATTTATTTTTGCGTTTTATTATTTTTAATATATTAATACTGAGTATATGTATTATTAAAAATAAAATTAATTTTTTTTACTTTTAAAATGTAATTTTGTGACTAAATAATCACAGTATTCATATATACTTATCACCACACTTTACAATATCTTGTTGCTCTGGTTAGTACCATCGCCATCAGAAGACGATGTATAAATTTCTTGTACATATCAGCCGGTTTTTTGACTGCAATAAGTATAAGTTTGAATCATTATTAAATACTAGTTTTGTGTGGAGCACTTCTTAATATTCTGTAAAATCTTACATTTACACTTTACAGCAATGTATATTTTAATAATTTGTAATATATTTATTTAAAAATTTTTTTGATTTATAGAATTTAAACTTTATTGATAAAATATCAATGTATTTTTTTTTCTTCGCAATTGGGCAGTACTTTTCATTCCATAACATGTTCTTTCAATATCACTATATTCTATGTCACTATGTAGATTACTTAATTACTTAATTGTTTATTTTATTTTCAATATTTCGACTTTAAACTAAAGTCATGTTCAGACTATCAATAATTTATCTAAATTTCAATCATAGAACAAATATTCCTATGTTCCTTTAAAATTATATATTCTCTTATTCGAATGTTTCTATTCAATTTTTGTTTAAAAACAGCAAAAAAGTCGTGTGAATACCATCCTAAAATAGATTCCGCGATCACGATTAACTTTTGCCATCCATTATTCACTTTTTAATATTTTTTGCTTCCTGGTTAGTATCTATGGCAATTATGGTACACAACATTATTATTGGATTTTGTCATAACCTTTTAATATTAAATTGTCTATAAGCACTAAAAGAGTTATATTATAAGTAATATAATATGTATATACATATGTGTGTCTATGCATTATACTTTATGTGTGCAGTGTTTTTTAATTGTTTCGACATATGTACAGTAATTGCAATTGCAATTGTTTTGCCGCCTGCCCAAAATGCAATTTAATTTCATAAATTAACATATTTTCATTTTTGATTTTTTATGCGATATTTTTAGTAAACGCAACTTTCTACCCTTAAATAAAAAATAATTTAATTATTGTTTATGTTTTAATTAGTGTTATTAAATCGAAAATATACAATGCAATGAGTGCTGCATGTATGAGCAGGTTACCATTTGGAATTTATTGCACCATACGCACGACATAATGTCACCATTGCGAAAATAACTTAAATTTAGCTTTATTAATAAATATGTTGGTACAATGCGATATTTGCACTTTACAAACTGCTGGTATGTGTGTGTGTATATATGTGTGTGTGTATATATGTGTGTGTGTAAATATACAAATTTAGTGTGCCCGCTTTGCTTTAAATTGACACATGCAGCAGTAGTGTTATCGCGCGGCAACAGAATGTCGCTGACCCGCCCATCCACTACACACTACTCTACTCTATGTTGCAATTGTGCACATATTGTTTAAAAAAATCAAAATACAAAAAACAAAAAAATACACAATATGTATATGTTCCTACTACCATCAAAAAAAAAAGACGAAAAAAGATATGAAAAAAATTTTTATGAAATTGATTCATACATTACCAACACCAATAGCAAATACATTACTGCTGCAATAACATAAGAACCGTAACAACAACAACAGCAACAATTAAATTATTGCCATTGGCATTGCCACTTTGTTGCTATGTTGTTGTTATTGTTGTTGCCTGTGTAGTGTATTGATTTGCTTTAGTGTGTATTATTTTTTATTATGTCGTCGCATCAACATTTTGCATGCATGCATGCTATATGCCTTACCCATGTCATACCCATTGTTTATACAATGCCGCGTAATCGTTGGTCAAAAAAGTGCAATCAGCAGCTTGCCCTTGTCCTCTTGCTTGCTTGCTTGCTAGCTTGCTTATACCCGCTTAGCATAAACCGCCCGCATATTAGTTATCAACTGTTGTTACAATTATTACAATACGAAGACGACGTACGTCCACATTGCCGACTATTCGCCTGCCGTTCGTTACTTTTGCTACAGCGATTAGTAATATTGTACAATTTCTTTGCCGGTATGCAGGTTGCTGCTCTTGTTATTGTTGTATCACAGTGTAGTCGTCGTTATTGTGGCAACTCATGCCGTTGTTACCTCGTCATAATTTTCGTAGCATGCTTTGTAGTTGTTGCTGACTGCCATCATCTCCCTTCAACAACTTTGCCATTACTCGTACAATCTCTGTTGCACGATTAAGTAAATCGGCAGCACCCTCGGGTTTAGCCTGCACATTCGGCTAGATAAGCTACCACTTACCATATTGAAGCGTAAAGCAATTCATGTCAGTTGCTTTTGCGCTTTCAAATCTAACGGTTCGTTTTGAAATTAAAACGGTAGTAGTGTGCGTTTGAAATTAAAAAAAAATAAAAATTTTAAACAAAATTTCTAACTTCAATCTAAAATATTTTTGTTTCTAGTATTAAAAAAGTTGCAATCATAATCATTCGTTCTTTAGTAAAATTGAATTCTCATTGTTTAGTTCATTTGGCTGTGTTGTGCTGTGCTAAAACTTTAAAAAGTGTTGAATTTAAAGCCGAAATTTTTATTGTTAAATATTTTATTTTAGAAGTTAAAGTAATTTCCAAGGAAATTGTATTGTGCAGTTCTTCAATAGCTGACTTCTTACCAAATCCAGCGAAATACTTATTTAACATGTAAGTGTGCAGATACAAACATTCTTTTATTGTTATACCGGAAGCAATACTATTGCTTATGAATTATTAAAAAGATGTCACTCATTGCTATGCTAATAGTTCTACAAAATATCACTTTTTTTCTGTAATAAATATTATAGGAATATTGGTTCAATATGGTAGAATACAAAATTCCACACTTTTTTAGAACCGGAACACTTTGAGAAAAAAAAATTGAGTACACGTTTGCACTATTGTAACAGTACGTTCAGGTCGCAGAGGTATGAATGTACTCAAACTTTAGTTTTGACTTGAAAGACATTGAAATTTTCAAAAACAGGAAATATTTTTTTTTTTTTTGAAAAATTTTAAAATGACACTTTTTTTTTACGTCAAAATTATAATTTGAAAAATTTTTATTTTAAATATTTGTTGATAGGATGTGTTTCAAAATACAAATTCAATATATATTTTAAAGAATTCTTACAAAAACTCAAGTATCAAAGCAATTTCAAAACGCTTTTTGCATATTCAGTGAGAGAATAAAAAACTCAAAAGAAAAAAATTATATAAAAGTAGAATTTATAAAGGTATGTTATTTATAATTTCTTTTTTTCTTTTTATAAATCTGATTTGGGGGGTTTAATTTGGTGACGATCGGGTGTTTCCGAAACATTCACCCAGCCGCTCCTCTTTGATAGCAATGGTGTTGTAATATTATTAGTGAAAACTCTACTATTGCACACCAACCTCTGTTGTGTACGATGGATGTTGGATGGATTGAAAGATAGGTTAAACAATATTTCTAAAACTTAGTCTCTTTTTTTTTATCATTATTTAAAAAAATTTATAACCTTTGACCCGGCAAAAATTGGTTCACAAAGAAAATGAACGATTGTTCAAAAGAGTTTTCATTGTACCACAGTTTTTTAAGGAAATTTAAATATAAGTGCTTCTATAAGTTTTAAAAAATAATGAAGACAGTGTATTTAGTACCATACCATAAAAAATTTGGCACTACAAGAAAAAACTTCCAAAAAAAAATATTTTTAATAAAAACTTAAAAAAGAACCCTTTTTTAGAATTTGAAACCTTAACAATATTCAAATAAAAAGTAAAAAATATTAAATTTTAGTTAAAAAAAGCAAAATTTTTAAGAAAAATGTGTATAAATTAATCGAATACAAATCCTAGTAAAAATCGAATTCAAATCTTCATAAAAATTGATTAAAGTTTGCAACATAAAAAAAATAAATAAATAAATATCTTCGTTAGGAAGTGAACTTACTACTTCCAATCTTTCATTCTTTAATAAAATCAGCTAAAGTAGTTTTAAAATGACTAAAGTGCTATTATGTTTAAAAATTTCTAAACAGGACCTCTGAACTTCCATATTATTTGGTTCAATTCTTAACTCTGTTGTTTAAGCAGATAATACCCCAGGGTAAGCTTTATTCTGCCTTGCCTCATAAAAAAAGAAAAGAACAAAATGTAATGGTTATTTTTGATTTAAAAATGTTTATATATGATTTTAGTTTTTCTAGTACAACAACAATTTTATATTTCACGATTCGTCATTTTTGGATTCGTTTAGTTTTATGGGTTTTACAAAGCTATGCTTTCGAGAACGTGAACGATAATAGTAGTACTTCTTTATTAGAATTTGCAATTTCAAATCAATTTATTTTAAAAGAGTATACAAATTTAAAAAAGATGATGTAGCATTAACTGCGTGTCATCCCATATATTTTAATTCGTAAAATTGAAATTTAAAAATTTTATAGTTTTGAAAGGCTTTTGTATGTGAGCACTTCATATATAAATTTTTTTTATTTTAAACAGAAACAGTTAAATTTGACAAAATGTTTGTAATGTAGTGGAGAGTATATCGAGAATAATATAAACTATATGATATGATATGTTCTTTAATTGTATATCCATTCGTGTGTTCTTCAATAATCGTCATTCCGTTTGTGTCAGGGTTTCTTTCGAAGTTGTGTGGAATTAATTAGGGGATATTCATAACCATCATCATAAAAACATAATTTTTTCCATTAAATTTAAGTGAATATTAAAAATTGTGATGTGTACTAATATCTATTGCTTTATGTTCATTTATGAAGTAATTAATCTTAGGACACTTTTACTCAAAGAATTATGTGTGAGATAAAGTAGAACTAAACACTTTTTTCAAACCATTAAAACACAACTACAATTTCGAAAATAAAGAAATAAATGTACGAATTGTTATTCACTTTGAAATCGTAAGAAAACAAATTTTTTCTTATATTGATATATATTCAAATTTCAAAAATTGTTTGTCTGTATAATTTAGTACTTTTTTTTTCGCAGCTCATCGTTAAAGTCCACTTAAACTTTAAGAAAAAAAGAAACTAATCGAAAATACACGGAATCTATTGAGCGCTGGATGCTCTATTTGTAGAGCATCGCAAGATTTTTATGATGAACTATTTGTGTTTACTATGATTTGCAATTGAAATTATTCTTCTTTTTTTTCATTTGAATCCACTTGAGAATATTTAATTTTTTTGAATTATTTTACACATTTTAATTTGTAAGAGATTCTTTTTTAAACAATAATACGAAGGGTATTCGACAAGATTTGAAGTGTTCAATGAAGAAAGGAATATTTTTAAAATTTTATATTTATATAATTCAACAATATTCATTTGCGGCAGATATCACTTCATTATTTAATTAGAATTGTTCTGAAATCCAAAATTTCATCATAAAAATAAAAAAACGTAGTTACCAGACGTAATCGATGAATTTTAGCAACGACGACCACCAAAATGTCAGCTGATAACAAAATTTTTTTCCTTTCCTTGCAAATGAGGAAATAACAATAACAATAACTTGTATAAATATTGTTGCACATAGAATGTACTAGTCATTCTGCTACATCTATTTGTGAGATTTTCAATCAGTAACACAAACCCTTGTCGTCGTAACAAATATTAGTTGATTATTTTTTGGGATCGTGTTGTGGTGGTAGATTAGTTTTTTCAAGTTTTGCATCCGCTCAAAAAATTCACATTATTTTTAGTTCAAATTGGAGGAACAGGGAATCCTAAATCTTCATGCTCTTAAATTCTTTTTTCTTGAATCATTCCAATACCATTTGAATATAAATTTATTTATATTATAATATACTCCATTTCATCATGATACTATATTAATGTGGTTCTGCAAAATGTCCATTAATTTCAACAAGCTATCTCTGATTCAATTTTAATACAATAATATTTGATGTACTTTTTTGAAGTCTACCCTCATTGATAACAGGTTTTGACCATTTCGGAACAATAATCATTATTTAAAACTATCCATAAAATGCCCCCAATTTCAACAATCTTTCTGATTCTTTATTATCTGAACTCGTGCGGAGTGAACTTAAACTTCATCTATACGTAATTCGGTTTTAATTAACGACATATTTTTTTTTTTTTTTTTTTTTTTAATTTTAAATACAAAAATCTAATCACAACAAAGTGCTTAGCTCTGCTTATTTTCAAAAATATTTACAATGGCCCAATAAAACATTTTACGTCTATTTTTTGAAGAATTGAAAATATGGATTCACCGTGTGACAACTGCTATATGAATTTGTGAAAAACTTTTCTAAGACTCTACGTAAAATGTAGTCTGCTGCTTTTGTTTTCTATTTAAAAAAGTATTTAATTTAAAATTCTAAGATTTGCGTTGAATTATTATTTTATACTTGCAGACAAAGTCGTCGTCGTCTCAATCCAATATACAATTTTTTTTCGTTTGCAAGATTGAATTGTACATAAAGACGACTTTAAATAAATTGTAAATTACAATTTACACATTTCTATAAATATATATGTAAATATAAGTATACATGAATACATATATACTAGACATTACAAATATTTTGCGTTTTACTTTTTATAATTAAACATTAAAAATTCTGTAGAGATGTGAACGTGTTTTTAATATTTAATATTAAAATATATAAATTTATTTATAAATATAGATTTTTAATACAACTTATTTACACGATGCACATATCTTTATAAGAAAAAAAAACATAATATTAAAATTTATTTATTGCATATGTAATAAATATTTTGCGCGCTCACTCACATTCCTTTCCTTAGTTAATGCTGTTGGCTTGACTTCCCCTGCCCCACTTCTGTTCATCATAATTGTTGTGTAAACAGGGTGTTGCTACTGTGTAGCATTAGGCAAATGTGTTTATTAACACAAATTATTAAATGCTCGTACATAAATATACATACATATGTATGTATTATTAAAAGAAGAAACAAATTAATTAATTGATTTACTTATGGTCGGGACAAGATATGTATGTCTTTGGGAAAATAATGCTAATCGCTTTATTCAACAATACCGAGTCAATTAATTTAAAACCAGCATAATGCCATATATTCATTGCACTGCCCCTTGCTTCCATAGCAGTTATGCATATACACATAGTTAGACGATAAAAATAAGTATCGAGTATCTATTTATGAATAAATATAATTGATTGAATTAATTAATTTAATATCTATAATTTTCTTCAATAATTGATTGCACTAATAAGGCATTTATAACATGTTATTAATAAATTCAGTAATTTGTTAAAAATCTTCATAAATTGATAACGTGATTTAGTTTGAAATTATAAGGGTTAAAGATCAATAATATATGAACAGAATTATCGATTTGTAAATCTAAAGGTTATTGATTTCATTGAATTAATAAATAAAATCACTTATCAGATAATAGTGAATAATATTTTACATTGCACAGAAGTCTAATTTACAGCAACCCTTTACGTGTACCTAAGCGACCCTGACCAAACGTAATTTACATCTACATAATAATAAGTACAGAATATTTTCATTTGACGATCTTTTTTATAATGTAATTAAGGACCCTGGTTAATTGGTTTTGGTAATGACAGAGCTCTCTCATCTATATAAGCAGCGCATGGCAGCTATTTTGTTACCATATGTTCAGAGATTAAATTTAGAATTTAGTTAGATTTTTTAATATAACTTACATGGATCAAAAGAGGGTCATTAATTTATAAAGGTTTATATTTTAATTGTTTACCAGCTTAGTTAGTTTTATATTATAAACAGATCACACTTAATAAAACGGTGACGTTTAGTTTTGTGTAGTTCATTTTGGAAGTGTTGAACGACACTTGTTAGACAAACTCGATAAGTGGCTTCGGGACCCATTCCCAATTCATTCTTTCGCATTAAAATTCCCACTTCGGTTAACAACAAATTAGTTAGTTATTTTTATTGTATCTGGGTAAGATATACCAACATTTATGTAATTAGTGGGGTTTGTTTTTATGTTTTCTAAGCAAAAACTTTCGGTGAGTAGCCTTCACTGTCTCCAAGTATTGTCAATTATTAATACACTGAGGACATGGGTTTGTAACCATTAAAATGATTATGAGGTCATGACGGTGACAAAGCTTCAATTAGTAGATAACTGAAGATTTAGACACGAAAATAAAGTAATTGTATTAAAGAAATACCAATATTTATTCCTAAATTATGGGCATCTATCTTAATACCATAAGCATCTATTACATTATTTCTCTATTGTTGATTTACTGCATACACGTAGTGATGATATATGATATAAGTGTACATATATTTTTAATTTATATTGGTTGAAATGAAAATAAATAATTTTTTTTTAAATTTTGTGTTACTATATATTATGTATTACTATATTTATCAAAACTTAATTTCTATAAGTAAATTTTTATTAAAATTCTAATCATATTCTATTGTTTCTCTTACAGAACTCCTCAAGTACTGGTGAGTATAAATTATTTATTAAAGATATTACTACATATATGTAGATAAATGTTATTAATATCAGTTTTATATTTTAATACTGTTTAATATATTCTTTTATTTTATTTTTTTTTAATGGTTAAGCACTATCTTTTATCGATTAACCAACTTCGATCCAAACACTTCTATTGTTTTCGTTATTCATGTTTATAATTATTGTCCTTGAATAAATTCTCTGCTAATGCGAGCTTTCTTAATAGATTTTATATGGTATCATGGTATATCTAATTACACTTTCTCAATAATTTTTTTCTAAACCAACTGGTTGCGTTACAAACCCTATGAAATTTATTAAGCTTTATTCTTTTAATCTTTATTTAATTTAAGCCAGAATGTAAATAATAAATGTTTAATCATTTCATTCACTCATCCTTTCTAACAAGTTATTACGTGGGACATTCAATCTATTCGCTTGCTTAGCTATCAAACAATAAACGTAAGCAGATAGACAACAATAGTTAAAAATTGTTTGTTCTTCCGTAAAAGAAAGCTACTAGATGATAGCATTCTTCATAATTCTAGTCATACTATAGCTTTACTATACATACTATAGTTTTTTGTTTGTTAAGACAGTTATAGAAAAATCCAAATATTCTTATCTATAGTGTAATACCTATGTTATCTGAAAGAGTAGTGCAGTATCTGACCAGTGCATCAACTTTATAATTTCCCACGATATTAGTGTGACCCAAAACTGAGGTTAGTGTTTTTTGTTTCGCTTATCTCATTAAGAGATAAGCAGTGGTACAGCCATACTGATTTTAGTCTCTTTTCTACGTTTGTCAGTGATTTGTTGACAATTTGGCTATCAATTAAAATATAGACATTTCTTTACTATGTCATATGACACCATACCATCATCCCCATTGTTATCGTTACCTTGAGCTTGGAAAATACAAAAATAATTCAATCATATAAACCTAATTGACATATTAAAATGATTCAAGAATGTATCACATTCTAATATGCTATACTATACTTTTGTAAAAAAAATTGTTATGAAAAAATAATTATTCAATATTATATATAAAATTTTTTAAATATGAATAGTGGAGCTTTACTTTTTTGATCTTCAAAAATGTTAAAAAGAATAATTTGGTTGTTCTAGTTGATTTTACTATTATATCACTACCTAACTTTACTTTTTCGATCTTCAAAAATATTAAAAAAAAATTATATTGTGTATGCCAATGACTGTTAAGAATAATTTGATTGTTCCTAGCATATCACTATCTTAAAACTTCCTGATCAAAGTAATATTTTGATGAACTGAATATTATAAATCAGTTCAGAAGGTTATTATATATCCTTTTGGTAATATCTTAATTTAAACATTAATTTTTTTTGGCATTCGTTTAATCCAATATTTGACTTTATTTCTTAGTGAAATGTTCGGACCCTATTTGAACTGTAAATCTACTAACTAGCATTAAAAAAATATTTTTTATCAATGTTTATTTTAATATCTCATTTTAAAAAATTTTTATTTTTTTTTTATTTTTACCAGATAGTAGTTAACTGTTATTTTTAAATATATATACGGGTACAGTGAACTTAATATTATTAAAATAATTTTTTGGATTTGGCAGTTTAAATTTCTAAATAATGTTGAACATTTCTGCAATTTTTTTTGCATTGTTAGTGTTGTAAGCTTAATTAACTTTACTTCTTAATTAATATGAATTCAATTAAGTAAGGCATATCATATGTATAGTGACTATTTCAATGTACGACTTAATTACTTTAGTAAATTATGTTAACCATTATTTTTAAGCATATGTGTTCGCGGCTCTATTAAAAATGTGGATCTGTACGTATAATTTAGGAAAAAAATTCTTTGAACACATAACAAGCAAGTAGAGTTTTAAGTAATAAAGTAATGTTAATGGCCCCATTAAATAGAGTTTACTACTTTAGCAACAAATTGAGGTGAAGTTGCAAACTATATAAATTTAAAAAAGAGTATATTTAGGTGTATCCATACTAAAAATTAAATATTTCACTTGCAGTAAATATGGACATTTCATTTTTTCAACAAAACAAAAAAAAACATCTGAAGAAACTTATTTCTGCAACAAAAACATGAGCCCTATAAATTAACCAGAGTTGTAAAAATATATGTTAAATTTTTACTATATGTGTAAAAAGAAGTAATTTTTCTTTTCACATATAAAGAATAAAAAAAAATATGTTATATTTCAAAGGAAAATACATATTCTTCACAGATTCACATTAAGTGGTGAAGTAGTTATAAAGGCAGATAGATGAACACTGTAATATACTATATACTTATGAAGCTTTTTTTTTTATTAAAATATTGTTCATTTTGGTTTTAACTATTAAAATCGATAAATATGATGAATACATACTATATTTAATTGCCACTCATACATAATATAGAAAACTTAAGTTCATTTACGTATTTATATATCCTCTTCTATTGCTTTTTTAAAGAAAGAGAATTATTTTTTTTTTAAACATAAATAAAACGTTAAATAACTAATAAAACCTCAAAAACGTTATCTCCGAAAGTATTTGATTTTTTTAACACTTCGAGCATTTGCTCAGGCAGGAAAGGAACGAAACTATTTCCTCCTACACAGCTCAAAGCCATAGGTGTTAATGTACTCGCACTTATATTTATGGGCAAATATGATTTATTTTCCGGTTTTGAAAATGAGAATTACTTTATGTTAGTGCATTGCGCTTTCACGTAGAAGTGCTTGGCTTTTACGCAAAAAATTTTACCCATTAATAGAAAACCAAAAAAAAAAAAGAAGCTAAAATAAAAAATATGAAAATAATATAAGAAATAAAGTGATATTTTTTGATATTACACTTTATAAAATATCATATAATAATTGGAAAATTATTATACTAACTACTTACTTTACCATCTTTAAAAAACAATATATATATATTATTATAATATATATAGGTCGCGATGTACCATTATCACTTCAAATAACATTCGTACTTTTCTATTTTGCACATTTAAAGCATAATGTATCCAAAAGTTATATAAGATAATATATCTATAATCAATGCAATCAAGTTGTCATCCATTTTTCTTTTATCTGTTAAATTTCATTAATATTGGTGTTTTTGTCTTGATCTGTAGGTTGGTATATGTTGTACCAAGACGTCTAACCTAAATAATTTGCTTAGAAAGTATTGATTTCAAATTATTCGCAATTTTTAGTATAGGCATGGATGTTTTAAATGATTTTCTGAATAATTTTAATGTTAAAGATATGTGAAGAGACGCTTAGATGCGTTACTCTAGATTTAGATAAACTAGTACAGTGTCAATACTTGTGTTTCGATGTTTCTTTGGATGCCATTTTGATCCAAACTGGGCACGCTCAGTATGATTCCGTGTCACTATATAGTCTACTAATATATGGAAGTCAATATTATCTTAAACACCCCTATTTTGTTTTTATATATTCAATTTGAAGTTCTAGATTTGGATTATGTAGGCTATGTCGTCAACCTTGTTTTGACTGTTATCAGATATGACTAATTTTCTTTTCCGATGTGTTGTGTTCTATTTAAATTTTAAAGACGTAAAAAATATGTCGTTTGCTGTTAAATATTCTATTATTTTCATGCAATAAGAGATTTTTTAGTCAAAATAGATCTGAAGTAAGTTTTATTACGAGTTTCTTAACTCGATTTGCTCCTGTTAAGTTTTAAAAAATGGAATTGAGCAGCCGCATGTAATATGCGCGGTAAAATACCTGCGTATCTTTTCTGCTCGGGCGCTGCGATTAGTAAAAAACATAGGTGTTTATGTGGCAGAAAGAGAGTATGAAATTACCATTTTTTCCCATTCTGCCACTGTCAACATACGTCATGCCTTTATCATCTCAATGGTCAAGGCCTGCCTTCCTCAAATGTCACTTCAACTATGTCTCTAAGATAAGCCTTATAGAAGTTCTTTTTTTTTGCTTCAGTTACAAATTGGTGTCTCGATAAAAATAAAAAAATAAAATAAAATAATAAGCGCTAATCGTGCGCTTGCCTTAAACTGTAGTATCAGAATGGATACAGCTTTCTATTTAATGAAAAAATGAATCAATTTAATTACAAAAATATTTTATATAAAAAAAAAAAAATTTTTAAAAAATTAATTTAATTAAATTAAAAAATAAACTTAAAAAAATATAAATTAAAAACAAAATTATTCTAAAAAAAAATAAATATGAAAAAAAAAATTTTAAAAAATATGTATTTAAACAAAATGAAGCGTGCTACCTTGCCTGCCTGCCTTTCTTCACCTTTATAAATATATCTATTTAACTAAAATTCTGTTTTCTATATTTATATTTAATTTAGAAAATTGAGCAAAATTTTTAATCATTTCTAAAAAAAATTGTTGTCTTATTAATTGCTTTTTTTTATTATTTATACAACAAATATTCTCGCTCATAATATGTTATCAATTTTGTTATATAAAGACATATGTATGTATATATGTATGTATGGGTGTATGTACGAATTATCTACCAATCGTTCAATGTACTTTATTTAGCAATTTTGCACTCTTCATGGGTATGCAATATGTCTTTCTGCTTTCTACTCAAATTAATTAAATTTTGAAAAGTATCAAATTAATTTCTTAATATATTAATCAATACATATACATACATACATATGTATGTTTAATTTTATAATTGTTTCTATATAAAAAGGGTGTAGTTCTCTTCTTACAACAACAAGAAATTTTATTGGCTTCATATTGCAAATATAAAATTTCAAATTCCTATATGAGAATTGAACTGAACTATTGTATTTGTAAGCGTAAAGCCACTTTATATAAATATTTATAAAATAAATTTTATTGTTATGTCCTAAATTGTTTAAAAACATTGTATACTCATATTTATGTATATACACGATGGATAATATCTATATAATGTATTATATACTTATATTTATATATAAATGTATATTAA